GTCCAAAGCTAAAAGATTGAATGTTTTTAAATAACTGTAAAACAACTTCCATTAGGTAAATTTGTACCATCGTAACAGGAAAAACGACGTGAAATTGTTGGTACAATCAGCAATTTGAAACCAATTGAAATTAAATTTTAAAAGTAATTCTTATATGAATATTACTAGCTGTAACCCGCGGGCTTTGCCCCGTTTAACTTCTTAATTTTCAAGGTGATCTCGTTCGCATGGCTCAATCACGTCCTGGTTGAAGTTCGTTCGCTACGCTCACTCACCTTTAGGTTGGAGCTCGTTCGCTACGCTCACTCACCTTTAGGTTGGAGCTCGTTTGCTGCGCTCATTTGCCTTCAGGTTAGCTCGTTCGCTACGCTGACTCGCTTCCAGGTTGCAAATTAGCTGTTGTCATAAAAGTAAAAGAAATAATAGTGCTGCACCCTGTTGGTAATCCTTGTAACTTTAATGCTATCGAACGTCATAGAACAAAACCAACTTGTTTAATTGAAACAGCTGTTTAGATTCATTAATTCCATTTCTCATAAGGTTAACACGGGAAACTCTAGAGCCACTAGGGCGGAGCCCAGAGGTCGGAGGGTAAAATCCTTTCTTAGTGAGCGTCTACCACCCAAAAGGAAGATGCCTGCCAAGTTTCAGGTTCCTAGGTCTTGTTTCCGAGATTTCGTGATGAGTGAGAGAATGAATGAATGAATGAATGAATGAATGAATGAGTCAGTGGTATTTGAGCTTTATCTTACTAATATTATAAATGTGAAAGTTTGTGTGTTTGTTTGTTTGTTTGTTTGAAGCTCAATCACGCATTAACTACTGGACGGATTGGGATGAAATTAGGCAAGATGATAGCTCACATTCCCGATTAACATATAGACGTATTCTTATCTCAAAAATCCTTTCGGGCTGCGCCCCAGTGGCTCTGCAGTTCCCCATGTTAACCTTATGAGTATTCATATTAAAGGGAATTAAAGAATTTAGTCAGCTGTTTCAACTAAAAAAGTTGGTTCTATGATACGCATTACTAAGTTATAAGATTTACCAACAGAGTGCATCACTAGGCTATATTTTTTCAGCATTTATGAAAAGTGCTTTTTTGAACTAAGCACCAACAAAAAAATTTGATACACAATGAGAACTAACTGTCAAAGTAAGATTGTTTACAGCTATGTTTATATTTTTAAATTCATGAATAATTTGTGATATTTTGTGAATTTTTATAATTTATTTTTCTCTATTGTTTAGGTGAAGTGGTAGAACATTTTGGCTATGGTAGATGTGTAATACTATAGAATACTGTAAATTTAAGGAAGCAAATTTGATTAAACTGTGTCCTCCCTCATTGCAATTGCAAAGCTTGAGTATAACTGCAATACGCATGTTTTATACTTATATGCCAACCCCGTACGAAGGACGGGTACTCTGCTAGTATAATATATATTTTACATTTAGTTGCTTGTTTATGATATATACGAATGTGTACATTTTGAATAATCAAAATATTCTCACAATTCCAACAAAAATAAATCACAAATTTAGGATTGTCTTGAGCTGTATTCGTACTCTTTTAGACGTTTAAGTTGTTAAATTAAAGGTTCAATTCTATTTTCATGGAATTTTGTATCTTTATCAGAATATGTTTGGAGGTGATAGTAAGACTTTAGAATGTTTAACGCGTGAAAGGTCTTCGACTTACTTTAAAGCTTCAAGTCCGAAAACAAAGAACACTTTTAAGACTTGAATCTTAGCACAAACTTGTGAAACTGAAATAGGCGCTTCGCCAACATCTTTGCTGGCATACTTGTGGAAACCCGTGGGCCATTTAGAACTACACAAGCTACGTAATTAGGTAAATAAAATACGTTTGTGTTCATAAAACTCAAAAATAAATATTAAACAATTATTAAACACATTGGGTGATCTACATGTACGATTATTGTATAATGCCTTTGCTTCTCACTGTAACTTGGGATACATTAATTTTGGTAAAGTACTGTATGGAATTGTTTATACATTTAAACCAACTAAACTAGGAAGGAAGATTTTATTTCAATTATGTTTACGAAAAATATAATATTCCACGATTTTGAATGGATTTAAATATTAGCTCTAATTTTTCTAAGTTGTAAGTTCACTTGGTTACCGTTAAAATAGCTTAGATCTGTTCAATTATACCGTAGAATAGATAAAATAAACGACGACAGAATTTAACCAATCGTACCTTTAGTCTTTAGTAGATTTCTCATCATTATGTATGAGCTGAACAAACTTTTTCTGTTTAGTTCTGTCCGGTGTACTGTACAGATCGTTTTGTATTTTTTTTTTTTGTTCAGCAATGTAAAACATTGTTCTCCCGAACAAGAGATATAATCATTAACAACGAAAATGAACATCAAAATGTACAATGGGATGAGAAGTCTACTTGTGTTGTTTAGTCTGTGACCATAGGTGCCATAAAATAAGAATGGTTTGTTGGTATGACTTAGATTTTTAGGTAGTTGGGTGCGAAATGGTAGTGTTTGCCAAACATTAAGGTTTTAGGTCCAATCACGAGAAGATTCAGTAGCTTTCTGGCGGCTCAAAGCTCGATCAGCTGTTGGCTAAAGAAACAGCTGATTGTAGCCTGTAACAGCTGTAACTAAGCTGTCGTTTAATTCAATCAACTTGTCCTTCGCTCATGTTCGCCTATGAAGGCAATGCAAGTCGGCAACACGAAACTTGTCTAATCCTTAAAAGCCAGTAGCTTTTTGATGTGTCACTTATCCCTTAAAAATGATTTAAATACATGCTCTTGGCTATGAAAAAGCTTATTTTTACAACACGTCTACTAGGAGCAATTCACTTATTTGCCCTGGGTTCATATAAAGCTTAAAATAAGTGTACAAGTACGTCACTATGCAAAGTAATGATTTATGGACAATTATTGTAACTCAAACGCCCAAGGTAATCAGAAAGCATTATTATGTATGATTTAGTTAGCATAGTTTTAGACGGGTTATGGTTGTGTGAGTAGTTCACATAGAATTACTTTAGTCTTCATGGGACCTTCGTGCTAAGATTTGCTCATTAGAATAATTCTGAATAAGTTTACCTTGTTTTGCATTCAAATTGATGGTTTAACACATGCAACTCATGTAGTTGACTTTTATACACCTTACTAATAACATAATGTTAAATTTATTCTGTTTACGTTTGACGTTTATCGTATGCAGATTACAATGTTGAAAATGTAAAATGATTACTTTTGTACTGGTTATTCAGTAAGAAACTCTTGGTACGACTGATCCTGCTATTAGGGCCACTTGTCGGCTTTTAGCACCGGTACAGAGTAATAAACATCGTCCTTCTGCGAAGGAACGGACCCTTGGAACCCCTCACCAGTCCTTGGAATTTTGTAACTCCAATCTGGAGCGAAGCCGTCTCCCGAGCGCCGAGTCTCCCGAGCGCCGCGTCTCCCCAGCGCCGAACAGGCTATATGGCATAATCTAACAGTTTTGACAGCCGAATTGGAATTCACAAAAGCAACGAACTGCGGTAAAGGAGTGTGCCTAATTGAGCATTGTAGACAATCAGCACTGGAATTACGTTAATTTTGCATACATTTCATCGCAGACATACGTCTCGAATTCTAAATCAACATTTAATGATTATTTTGTAATTCAGCTTACTGACTCTCATACTTTGCAGATGCTCTCACTTAATCTTGAATAACTAACCTAACTTAACCTTTACTGCTTCATAGATTCAACTTATTGATATCATATTAAAAGAGAATGTATTAACCCTCGTCACTTCTGCATCACTGAGCAGAACCTTTGGTAATTTATGGCCTCGGCGCTCGGGAGACTCCACGCTTCCTCGCCAGTCCTTGGAATTTTGTAACTCCAATCTGGGGCGAGGGAGGTGTCTTTTGTCAGTGTTTTGACGAGCATCACATTGTTCAACTCATAGCTTCATACAGGACGTGAGAGGCAGATCTCACCACGTATTTAATTAGTAATTCACATTTACCGCATTAGTTTCGGTTTAGCACTTCGTTCATCATAGTTTTCATTTATATAGTCCACTAATATCCTTTTAGTATTTGTCAAGTCAATAAAATCATTGTTAATTTCTAAGTGTTAGTTTTGAAACTTGTTTTGGGTTTAGATTCCATCAATTCAAAAGGAACCAAATAGGTTAAGCATTGTCTCTATGTTTCACATATTTATTTACGAAATATCATTTCGACTTTTGATTACTAATAGACGAATATAAAATGACAACTGCAAATTAAAAATTGGCAATTATTTTTCATTTTAATTTTTCTCTAAAGGTTTCCCTATTTTCTTATTTCTTTGTTCCATTTCTCTTGCCATAGTTTGTTGGACACTGCATCTATTTTTTTCACCATGACGCACGGACTATCACCCACGGGAAACTGCATTTAGAATATTGTGATGAATGTGCAGTAAAATACGTTCTTCGAGGTTAATATTATTTTTAGTTGAGCCTAGAATATCTTTACTAATCGTATGGTAAAATTAGATTACAATCTGTAGAATCTAAAAGAGTTTAAGTTTAAGATATAGGCATGTAATCCGGTTCAGCCCCTACAAAAGTCGATTATAATAACTAACCAAATTGTTCGAGTAAATGTTTGCTACGGTTGAGTACTGACCAATTATATCAATCAATGCAATGTATCAATACTACAAGCAAAGTTACCAGTAATAATATTAGCTTTTCCGTATTTTCCACATGCTTAAGTACTGTCATTGACTGTTGGATACTGAAGTTGTATTAATAGTCAAAGGTACTGTGTATTAAATATCTAAGGTAAATTGTTGAAAGTCGATGAGTTTCAGTACCCAACAAAAATAATACTTATTTATGGACCGGCTCATTGTATTTGTAGTACTTTAGTCAGCAATGTTGGAAATCTTACACAGACTAAGCTATTTCTAATTGTAAAAATCTACTTCTATTAGTGTTTTTCTCTAAAAATAAATTACCTTAAACCTATTCTCCTTGGAGGGAGACTCGGCGTATGGGATTCCCTGGAACTGATAGATTGTCCTGGAGGTCCACGCCGATGAGGAGGTGGATCCCAGGACTTCCCCGAGGCCTCCAACGGTCACTTGGACACCCTCCGAGGCAGAGGTCCAAGGAACGACCAAGGTACACGACAGAGCGACCAGTAGGAGGGTGGTGCTCGGGGACATGGTCGCGGCCGCACTGCCTCTAACTAGTACTCGCACAACCGAATGTTCGGTTGTTGCTATCGATTATCACGGTTTAATCTCGCCGTGAGGGGCTATTCGGTGTAACAGGGTTGTATTGGATTTCGGATATCGCAACTGTTGTTCCTTATTTTATTTGTTTTAGAGGGAATCATAATTTCGTTTACAGTTTTGAGCTGTGTAACAGTGTTAGGACAAGACCTTGCTTGTTGTTTTTTCAAATAAAGATACAACCTAAATGTACATGTTCATATTTAAGACAGGTAATATCCATGTATTTTTTATTCAATAATCATAGTTGTAAGCTAATAGTTGATCATAGTTTTTTTTTTATTTAACCTTATGTTAATAAAACATTTTGTTCAGCAAACTATCACTTAATTGATTAATTTATAAGTGGTTAGGTGTGATGATAGTTCATTTTATTTTCGGACGTCTGTCTGTTGACTTACCAACATTTTGATTGGTTATGAAAATGTCAACCAATACGAATGTAGGCTACTAGTTGACTTTGGGTATCTATATTCTGGGGTTAAACGGAGCGAAGCGAATCTCTTTGGGGTCGACTTCAATAATAACTTCCAACACATTAGAAGAATTAACTAATTCACTCAATAACGGCTGAACGTGTTTTAGCCAAACTTACTAAGGTTGTTTGACAAATGTTTATTCAATTTCCGATAATGCCTATAATTTAAAAGTAACTCAAAGTTTGTAATTTTTAACATCGGCCTTATGGGTCGCCACGATGGTTACAAAATAACGACGTAAATGTAAACAAAACAAAGAGTCATACCATATGTTAATATAAAGCCATGACCTATAAATAAACACAGTACAAAGGGAAAAAATCGGATGATGACAACTGAACAAATAGAATTCCAATTTAAAAGGAATTCCATGGTGATGGTGTGTCGGTGTGTCACTATGTATTTGCTAGAGCAAGATTTTTCGAAGTTTGGGATCCACTGCGCTGCGTTAGTGCGGTAGGATCTCGTGCGCGCCTGGCGGTAAATATTGCAACTATAATTACGTGGTTGGGTTGAAATCCGCTAGATGTCGGGTGATATGAAAGTTACCTAAAAACCCTTAAGTGAACATTGTAAAACTTCAAATCTGTGATACAACAAGTGTAAATACTTTAAGTTTAGTCAAAAACTGATAAATATTTAGACATTTTCAATAGTTTATTAACATCTATATAATTAATACGCTACATGAAACTTTGTCGGTTGAACTCCTCCGCCATTTCTTAACAGATTTTATCAATTGACGTCTCATTGGAAAGAGCGTGTCGCGTAGATTTGCAAACTGGCCTTACATTTTTGAAAAAGTCCCTTGGGTTCTGCCCCAGTGGCTTTGAAAGTTCCCATGTAATCCTTATGGAGAACATAATTGTTTACATTTTGATCAGCTGTATAATTTAATTGCTGTTATTTTTCAATTCAATGAAACGCATTGAGTACATTTATTTACTATTTGAGTTTATGTAAACATAACCCCCAAGACGGATCGTGTTAGTATGGTTGTATCTTAAAGTTGTGTATTTATCGTTGTTTTGTGTCGCTATGAAGGATCGTGTTAGTATGATTGTAACTTAAATTTGTGCATTTATCGTTGTTTTGTGTAGCTATAATTTGTTTATTTGTTGTTGTTTTTTTTTCTTTTAAATGCCTCCGACGTGACGACAACGAAACATAGACAGGAGGCGTAATCGTGATAACGACCGCAGCTACAGAACCGTGGCGCGTAATAGGCTTAACTCATCACAGTCAGCACCTGACCCTGGACAATCTCAACTATTGGGTTACAAATGCGCCCTAACACTACCCCAAAACGACTTTTCGTTCTCAATTGGCCCTCTATCAATGACCTGTGTTGCCTGTACAGCGAGGCATTTTGAGAAGGAGAAAACCGGCAGGAATGCTTTAGGTTTATCAATAACGAAGATAAAAATGGTCTGAGTTACACACCGGTAATCTTTGAGTTGACTCTTTTAAATTAATGGTAAATATGACTGTTATTCGTTTTAAAATAACTCCTGTAATACTTTGCAATTGCTCGAATTCGAGCAACATGTACACTAGTTTCAATTAATTCCATAACATATTCACGTTTCTTTCTTCAGGTATGAGAAAGGCGTCTCGCAAGGTCTTTGATATTAGATTTGGCCACACTTCGTGTTATTCATGTTCTCTACAAAATTAGTACGATAACGATACAATAGTACAATAACAAATTTTACAATATTATAGGACTTACTCGAGTCGAGTATCGTGCAAAGTACAATTTTTAAGGGCCTCCTCTAATTAGGAGGCCAATAATAAAAAATACTACCCACACCGCAGCTCAGCAAACCTGCTAACTAAGCTAAAAAGCCAATGTCCATTTAACTGGCTGAATTTCTAATATAATAAGTAAAAATATTCCCTTAATCGTCAGATTTATTTCCAACTAGCTGCCGTAACCGTGCTTCGCAACGGAGATGACACGACATTGAAGAGAAAGATTTGGTCATTAAATTTGTATCGTCATAAAGTGCACAAATTTCATCAATTTAAAAGAAATCATCAATATATAACATTTATTGTTCGTACTGGTGCATAGTTCATTGTATTAACATTAATTTACCTGATAACCATTGAGTAAATGAACACAGTTACAGTTAATTGATTTCAGAAGAAAAAGTGAATTGCGTACAGCTTGTTTTGTGATATTATCCCTAGTTAAATTAAAGCAGTTTTGTAGAAAACGCAACAACTCTTTTTAAAACGTTTTTATTTGGTCGCTTTCTTGTCCGCTACAAATTTTGCAACCGATTTTATACTAACTTCCCGATGAGCTAGGGACTTGAAACTTGAAACATATCTCACAAATGGAAGACAATGCAATATTATACAATTTAATTTTCATATTTCCCTTGGGCTACGCCCCATGGGCTTGTTTTTATTAAATCGATTTCTTGCAAATTTTGATACTTCCCGATGAGCTAGAGACTTGAAATTTGAAACATAGCTCACAAATGGATGACATTGCAATATTATATCATTTAATTTTCATATTTCCTTTCGGGCTACGCCCCATGGGCTTGTTTTTATTAGCTCGCTTTCCTACAAATTTTGATATCAATTTTAAACGATGTAACCGATAAGCTAGAGACTTGAAATTTGAAACATAGCTCACAAATGCATGACAATGCGATATTATATCATTTAATTTTCATATTTCCCTTGGGCTACGCCCCATGGGCTTCCAAATTTTTCATGTTTACATTTTAAAAGGATGTAAATATATCAACTAATTTAAGTCAGCTGTAAATACTTAAATTTGACAGTTCAAAAAGCAGAGGTTAAGAGCTACAGGTTCTGCTCCCAAGAGATTCTTTATACAAACACACATTTCAAAATAAAGATAAACAATCTGATTGCAGATATAAAGGAGTTTGTTAATAATGTCATTTGTTATTTATTTAGTATTCTATAAAGTAAACAATAAATCAAATAGATTGATATATTTATAGTTAGTAGGTAGGCCATACATGCAATCTAATACATAATTATATGCAAAGAAACTCAAATAAACCTTAGATTTCCCACATGCCTCTGTCTTAATCTGACATAGACGCTTGAAATAGATTTAACATGCACACATATTAAAACTAAAAAGTATAAAATAATTTATAAATAAAAAACTTTTTTAAACAAAACGTTTTTAAACGCCCTAAAAAGTAGAAAATAATTTACAAATAATTTAAAAATATGTCGAGAGAGTATAAATACTTGTACGATTTAAAACGAAAAACGTGGGGTGCATGCAATAGATAGTTTACAATTACCTTCACCTACTGAACTAATGCATTATTATCAATTAATTGCATGCACCCAACGTTTTTCGTTTTAAATCGTACAAGTATTTATACTCTCTCAACATATTTATAAATTATTTGTAAACTATTTTTTACTTTTTAGGGCGTTTAAAAACGTTTTGTTTAAAAAAGTTTTTTATTTATAAATTATTTTCCCTAAATGTAAAAAAGTTCAATGTGATGTGCAAGTTATGTGAAAGTACCTGGGGATCGAGCCATGGCTCGGTATAGTTTATTTCCATATAAACTAATTTTCAGCTAATTTTGGCTTTTTTCATGTTCAATTTATTAAGATGGAAATTAACCTGGCAATCCACAACACATTAATTTATTTTACAGTCGATGATAAAAACTACTCGGGTCATTGCTTAAACATGGTCTTGACAGTTGAATTAAAACAGCTTTTTTTGTTTAGATTATCAGTTTGACTGTTAACAAAAATATAATAATTATAGTAAATATAGTACCTAAATATAGCAATTTTTGACACTTCTGCTGATATTTCACCACCGTCCTTGGACCTTAAAATGAATCCTAAACAGCCATGCTACCTTCTTCCTACCTCGAGATATTTCGTAGAGACCGATTCGCTTACGGAATTAAATATATAGATTGGTATTTATGTTAAATTATCATTTAAAACTCACTTCTATAATATTTCTAAACACTATTGATAAGGCACAGCAATATTGCTAAAGTTTATAACAGCTGATGTTAGTGTTTTTAATGATTTATTGTGAGTGAAGATGGGAGGATTTGTAATTGAATTTGATTTAATATTGACCTTCAAAAATTACTAATGTAAATTCAATAATAGGTAGTTTTGAAACTGTTCGATTGAAATTTGAAATGTCAAAAATGAAGAAAATATATGGAAATGAGGGATTTGAAGGTAAATCATGTAGCCTATGTGAAAATGTTTTTCAAAATTTTGAAATTTCGTTAAGTTTTTTCACATTCACCTACACAAGATTTATAATTAATCAAAACCAAAATGGCGGTTTCCACTACTTACAAGATTTCAAAGCAACAAACGTTTCTCTAAAGTCCATACAGGTTGAAATTAGTTTCTAAAAACGTTGGTGGGTGTGTAACTATTTTATACTTAACAGATGGA